CTAGTCTATATATATAAACCCCTAATATGCAAATAGACCAAACGGCAGAACAACCAAACAACCGGTTGCTATGACGTGTGCTGATCATCAGGGCGCGCGCCGGAACATGGCAGGCATTGGCAGCAGGCGGCAGAGTGCAGAACATGGTGGGCGTCAGCCATGGTGGGATGGTGGAGCAGGTGAGCGAGGGCGCCAGACCAAGGTGGGGCACCAGTTGCTGTCATTGGGGTGAGCCTCTGGTGGTTACTGAAAATTCTTTGCTCCCACATGCCATGGTCCTGCCCAGCGCTCGCACCTGCTGCCAGCACTGGCCCTGCTCGCACCCGCAGCCAGTGCCAGAGCCGCCACTCGCACCCTCTGCTGGCACCCGGTGCCGGTCCCGATCTCTTGGTGCCGTCAGTGGGTGGGAGTGGCAGCTGCTGGCCCCGACTGCCCCTGAGGGCTTCTCCACCTCCACCTGCTCCTGAGGGGCGATTGGGGCAGCAGCCGCCACCTGCACCCACTGATGGCACCGGTCCCACTTGCACCCGCTGCTGGCACCTGCCTCAGTCACTCCACGCCATCAGTGGATGCGAGTGGGGCCGGTGCCGGCAGCGCATGGGAGTGGCAGCAGCAGGAGCGGGGCTGCCGGCAGACAGGGGACAGGGAGCCTCAGTGGGAAGGGCTGGGCGTGGGTGTGGAGAATGGGCCCCTGTGCCCATCACAGCCTCTTGGCCCACAGTTCCTTTCAAGGTGCATGAATTCGTGCACTGGGCCCCTAGTATTCTATAAAATCTTCAATATGAGAACGAAGTGTTTGTACTCAGTATTATAGGCAATGGAGACTAATAAATGTTTATGGAAGTGTGGAGTGAAATCATAGAATTATAGAAATTCTGAACTCAAGTTCCCTTCACCCCCATTTGATAGACAAAAGAGTCAGAACAAGAACCAAGAAAGCTTGCCAGATTCCTAATCCAAATTCTTTGCTTCATACCAGCTGTTCTACAAGGTTGCCCGTCGCAGTGTGCAGGGTAGAGAAGAGAGTCCTGGCAGGAGAGCAACGTGGCAGCTATTACAGAAGTCCAGGAGGAAAGCTCAGGTGGAATGATGAGGACCTGAGCTCCGGGGTGGAGCGGGGGGCGGGGGGGTCGTCGTTGGAGGGGTTGGAGTTTGGGGAGCCCATGAAGTCTCCCTTCCCTCTCCTCCATAGAGCTCATGATAGTGTTTTTTATTCATTCAGAGAGGCGGGGCATTTGATTTGATTCATTGGCAGATTGATCCTTGTTCGGACAGTGACTCTTTGCCCTCCCAACTCCCTCTCAAGACTGCATTCTCTAGAAAAGAGAGGCCAGAAACCACCCCGCAGTGGCCAGAAGCAGCCTCAGAACTGCTCCTTCAAGGGATTAGTAGATAATTTTAGGATTCAGGCAACTCTGAGGGTTTTCTTCCTGGCTTGGCTAAGGGTGCTCAGGAATACCATGGCCCAAAGCCACTCTGCAAATAAGGGTCATCCAGCCCACAGGAGTGCTCCCCAAGGGCTCCGGCCCATGGGGGATGTCAGCGGCAGAGGGGTTCCTTCAGTGTTGCTCCTCTCAGATGCCTGTCTGTTTACCGACCTCATCTCAGGTCTCCTGCCTTGTCCCTTGTCCTGACCTTTAGCTCATCTCCCCTGTGACTTCTTACTTGAACAGTTTCATCAACTTAGAGCTTGGATGTCATGAGTCTGAGTCTGTGTGCCACAAGCATAGATGTGGAAAAGCTTCACAGCAGGCGTGAATGCTGAGCTTCTGCTGGGGCAGGATTCCAAGCCGGCAGTCCATCGTTTCCCTTCTACGTGGCTTTTAGTTTGTAAAGACAACCGAGAGAGAAATCATGAGGGGCAGCTTCTATTATAAAGACAGAGTACCAACCAGAGGCGTGATTACACACAGTAGTGAATCAGTGGCATCTTTTGATTCATGTGTTGGTCAGTTTCTCTTTCATGAACTAAGAGGCGAACCATCATCAAGGCCAGCCGATGTCAGTGACTGTGGGCCAGAGCCACCTTGCACTTTGTGCCCGAAGGTGCCACTTCCCGTCCCAGGCCCCTCCCGCAGGGAGGAGCACACCGACAGCTCCCGGTCCATGCACAGGACTCCTCTGGACGTCACCACAGAGAGCATCACCAAGAGCCTTCTGCGGTGACGGGAGGCGATTTTGTGAGCAATCCCTGGAGGCAGACAACCTACAGTCAAATCCCATCTCTGCTAATTATGAGCCGTAAGCAAGTTATCTGACCTCTTTCCACCTTGCTTTCTTCATCTGTAAAATGGGAATAAAGTGGGTGGCCAACAGAGTTGGCATAAAAATAAGTGCGTTAACAAGATAGTACATATAAAGCGCTCAGTATAACAAGTGCTTAAGGAATTGCCGCTGTTTTTAAGAAGGCAGCTCTGACGTTCGAGTCTCCTGGAAGCTTAGGGGCAGAGGCCCGTGAAGGTGGCAGAGGCGCTATCTAGAGATGCCAGCTGTGCTCAGGAGCAGGACTGCAACACCTGGCGGCACCTGAAAGCGCTCAGAGCACGTGGCTCCTCACCTGCCCCACTTGAGCAACAGTCCGGCCAGTCCACCTCCTTACCCCTCACCTGGCCCAGACAGAGGGCCTCGTTGGTTTGTAAGGTTTTAAAAACAAGGGGGGGGGGAGCTTTCTAGGCAGCTAGTTCAGGGTGACTTTAGTGCCTCTCCACCCTCGTTTGAGGTTCCCAGACATCAGGCCTGTCAGAGCCGGGGCATTTCAGGCCGTGTGGCCGTGGGGCTCGGGAGGGGCTTCGGACCCATCTGGGTCCTGTTCGGAGCTAAAGAACCCGAAGCCCCAGGTAGTGAATAGACTGTCTGAGGTAACCCCGCCTAGCTGGACCAGGACCCCCCAGACCAGGGCTAGTTCTCTGGCGGCCAGGTGCTCACTCTACCACAGGGGCTGGCTCCCGCCTTTCTGAATCCTGGCTGAGGTGTGGTCCTGTCTCCAGGTGAGACCGCACTTCGCTCCCGCGTAAGTGAGTTTTTTCCTTTTCCTGCCCGCTCAGGCCCTGGCATCTCAGACATTCACAGGCTCCTGGTCAGCTCCGGCCTCCCGCGCGCACAGCCTGGAGGTGCTGCCCCGCACCCTGCAGCCGCCCGCTCCGGCCGGGACCCGTCGGGGCCTCCGCGGCCTCTGGACTCGAGCGGGGTGACAGGGGCGCGGGCGGCACTTCCGTCGCCCAGAGCCGTCCTCTCCGTTCTTCTCTCCCATCCCTGCCCTCCGTCTGCTCCCCACTCTCTTGGCTCCCGCTCCCTCGGTCTTGCTCTTCTGCGTCGTGTCCCTTCCTCCGCTTTCTGTCCCTCCAGTCCCGTCCGTCCTCTCCCCTCGGCCCCGGCCTCCGGGCTCCCCCGGTGCCTGCCCTCCCCGCTCCTCCTCTCCTCGCCCGTCGCTTCCCCTTCCCTCCCGCTGACCCTGCAACACATCTGTTTCCAATCTGGGCCCTGGAGGCGCCTGTTTGAAACAAAACCCTCCCCCAGCCCTCAGGAACCTGGCACAGACTCCCGAAGAAACCCTCCCTCCCCCTGGCCCCCCGCGGCCCAGACCCCCCGGAGACCGACACCCTCCAAAGCGAAGACCCTCCGCCGCCAACGGTGCGCGCCGAGCTGGACCAGGACCCTCCGGCCCCGAGTCCGCCCCCGGCCAGATGTGCTCCCGCCGCCGGAGGCGGGAGAGGATTCAGGCTGGCTCCGGGGCAGCCGTCCAGCGCCCGCGTCCCTCCCGGACGCGGAGGTTCGCGGGTCCTCGGTCTCCCGCCCGGCCCCCGCCCCGCGCCCCGGCCCCGGGCACTCACCCAGCCAGAGCAGGAGCGGGGCCATCCCGGTGCGGAGCGGAGCTCGCGGCTCCGGGGCGGTGGGCGAGCCGGGCGGGGCGCCTGGGGGGTGCCGGCGGGGCGCCTCCGGCATGTGCGGCCGCGGGAGGCCCGCGCCCCGCGCCCGCTCGCAGGGGGCTTCGCGCGCCCCACCGGCCGGCGCCCAGACGGGAGCGGGGACCAGGGCGGGCGGGGGGAGAGCGAGGCGGAAAGGCGCTGCGGCTCCTGGAACACTTCTCCCTGTTTGTAAAGAAGGAGTGAAGAAAGAGGGGGAAAAAATAGAGCGAGCTGCAACCACATGGCCGCCTCCTCCCGGCAGCCCCTCCCTCCTCCGCCTCCGGCTCACTTTAGGCTGTGCAACTCATACACCCACATCCAGTTTGTATGGGTGTTGTCGATTTCCTAAGTGAGAGCGCTCTTGAGTCATGAAGCACGGACTGAATGCCCATTAGATCGGCAAATCGTCGATGCACATTTTGGGTTGCGCTAGCCTCAGTCAGCTTTGTCCTCACGCTCATCAAACTAGACTTCGTGATGTTGTAGATGATCGTCCA